AAATGCTCAAATGTTTTCTATTTCTTAGCCCTGTGAGAAGGCATTTCACACAGTCGAGGCACTGGTAGAATGCGCAAGAACATCACCTGTGGCACCACTCTTCCGCTTTATGTTTGCTCTCAAGGCACCTGTCAGAGCTGCAACACAGGTGATTGTCTTGGCCATTCTTTCACCCCCAGTGCCTTGTTTGTGAGGATCCCGCTTGGCCAGGCATTATTGAAATAGGAAGCAGTTGGGCAACCAGCCTTTCTGGAAGCTACCTTCTTTCTCCTTCATGACACTTCTGGCAGTGTGAGGGATTGCTGCCGCCATCAGTTCCATCCCTGGAGATACTGCTGCCACCTCTGCCACCAGTGAAGGAGAAAGATCTCTTTAGATCCAGGCATAACATGGCATCGTTGTTGTTGGTGGTGGTGTGGGGGATTTCCATGTTCTGGGGGAGGATGGTTGAGTGACGCTCTGTCCTCCAGGAGGTGGGAGCAGCAAGTCCTGTACACTAGTGGTGGAGGGAAACCGTTTGGTCCCTTCCCCGGGCAGTAGAACGGCTTGGCCCACCTCTGTTCATGCTGATACCCAGGAGGAATGTCAAGCACGTGCCAGCAAAGATTAGCAATGCTCTCAGAACTGACAATACTCAGAATCTTCTGGAAGGCCAAAGGGTAGGAGATCTATATTCCATCCTCTCACTGCCACTAAATAGGTCATCAATGTCTTGCTCTAAACGTACCACTCCAAATATTTGTCAGAAAGGAGAGATGCAACATCTACCAAAGCAGAACATAATTTTTATTGGAGATTTGTTACACCTCACATGTATTTTTTTAAGTAATCCTATTTTTAACAGTAATATACTCATAACTCTGCCAAGTTTCTTTAGTTATGGGTTTCATTTTTTGAAATAAAGCCAAATTTCAAAAATTGGCGAAAAGCCTTTTTCAAATGATTCCTTTAATGTTTTGGACAGATTGATTAAACCATACTTCTTAACACTAAAAATATGTGCTTGTTACTCTAAAAAGAGGAACAATGTCATCTGTTGCTATGCTATTATTTTAAAACTGACACATCTGTGTCCTGAGCATGCAGTCTTCCAGCAAGAGTTGATACTTGTGAGACTGGAGCTAACTTGCTCACCCGCTGGAATACATTCCTAATAGTTTTATTATTTCCACATGATTTCTACGTGATTTTTTTCTTCCTCACAATAGAATTTCTGTACAATGCGATTCTGCTTTGGGTGTACTTAATAACTACTGAAGAGAGACTAGAGTTTGGCTGTTTCGTTCAAAGAGACTGAATATGTGACTTCTTTATCTGATGCCCGCATGGGCTGCCAGGGTATCACAGATTAGCCACATTACATTGCAACCCCATCAAGTCTTCATTCAGCCAGCCTTCTCTTACCAACAAAACTTTCCTGCGATGAACAGAGGAAGCATGCCAGCATTGAGTGGTGGATCATACAGTGAACTTCCTTACGGTCTTCCCTATGAATATCCGTTCCAGCTGTGTCTTACATCAGGTGGCTGTTTGGCCTTATTAAAATTCTACTGAACCGACCAACTCATTTCAGCCTTCAGATGATAATGGCTTTCCTCAACTGCTGACCTTGGCTATAGTTAAGGCAGCGACCTAGAAGGAGGGAAAGGATCCCTGTCTCATTACCAATTACCTGAACTGCCCAGACTTGCCCGTGAAACCATTATTTTATGGAAAGGGGAGTCTCTCTGAAATAATTTTCTTCACTGCAGAACAAAAGTAGGAGAGAGTCTCTTTGCCCTTCCAAGAAACAACAAAAGCTTACAGGATGAAACATTCCCAGCCTCTTCTTGCTTTTTAATCACTGTTAACATACTAGCTGTGTTACAATTCACAGTTGTTAAATATTGAGCTGCTACTCTTAGTGGGACTGGCTCTGCTGTTACCAAACCCAGAGTTTTGCTAGCAAGGAGAAAGAAAGAAGAAAATCAGAGAAGGAGTAGTTTGCAGAAACCATATTGTATTTGGCAGGATATTTTAAAATAATTTTCAGATAAGAGCACACATTATTTTAACATTCATATGTATGGCACTGATTCCATGGGTAGCTGAGAGTTCAAGGAGGGCATAGACTCTTATGCCCAAATTTTGGGGTGAGGCATATTCTCTCGTTACACCACAGCCTGCCTATGAGTGATTTTAATTTAAACAGCTGTAACCTATATGATAAACTTTTGCAGCCCATTAATCTCACCTTCCGAGTACTTTGGCTCTCATTTCCAGATACTCATTTTTACCCAAGTAGTAGATTCCAAGATCCCACCACACTATTTTTCTTTTCAGTGTTCCAAAACATCATTTTGTAGCTACTTAGCCAGTCTTCAGTCACTTTGTTGTTGTTGTTGCTGTTGTTGTAGAGTTAGACCCACAGGTATATTTTTAAAAACTGTTATATGTCTGTGTGACCAACTCCACCCCACTGGCTGGGGGTGGTGATCTGGGACTCTTTAGCCATGGATTCTATGAAGTCAAGAATCTTGCTATGGCTCCAACTGTTTTTAATTAAGATGGGAGAACAGAGTACAAGGATTGGTTGGGAGCATGTGCGCCCTGTTCTGATAGTCTGCAGGGTGAATAGGTTAACTCCATCAGCACTGCTTGGAGTTCTCAACAGGGCTCTAGTTCCCATCACTGGGCAGGTACACTCCACAGTTCGTGGTTGATGTCTACTTTTGCACATTGACCCCGGGCAACTGACACCCTTCAAGAAGGGCTGAACGTTGAGCACTTAAGGTTCCCGTGTCCTCCAAGTTTGTTCTGCCTCTGGTGGCAATTCCAAAAGTGCCCCTTTTGGCATTTCCTCCACCAGAGTCTCCCTTGGGTTGGAGTGAGGCCAGGGTGCCCAGCTGGTCACCTCATCCCCCAGACGTCAGCTCAGTCGCAGGCTAAGAGCAGTGCACCTCCCCCATATCCTTGCTCATTAGCTGGCTAGGACTGAACCCACTTCCCAGACCAGGGGTTAGCAGCTACCAGTAGGCAATCCTCCCCATGGACACAGAAGATAAGGTCTGCTTCCTCCTTCCACACTTGTCCCCCAAAGTGCATTGAGAAGGATGAGTCCCTCCTCCTCTTCCTCATTTAAGCCTGGGTCCCACATCTCAGCCCAACCTCTGCCCACTCATCTAGGTCCAGGTCCACCTCCTTCTTCCTACCTGGGATCTCCCTCACCCTCATGCTGCCCTGTTGGTGGGTATCCCTCAGGTCCACCAGAAAGGCACAGGGTGAGGGCAGACAGCTCATGAGAGACAGGCAGAACACCCCCTCACATTCTGCAAGCCTCGAAGAATCTTAAAAGTTTCTGCATACCCTAATCAAGGATCTACCTCCTTTTTTTACACCACCCACTTGACTTCAGTCTGTTAGGACTGTCAGGTGCCGGGGTGTCAGCTGAATTCTCAGCAGTGCTGTGCTTCTCCAGGTCTTCAGCTCTCCAGACAGATCTCAAGAAAAGGGGCACTGGAAATGTAAACAATTTGATTGTGGTATATGAGGTCATTTTAAAGCCTTGAAACACATATGCATTCACTTTCTGATTGTGTCAGGGCTCACTGTCTCAGTATGCTGTGCACTCAGAATCCATGAGTGAGTGGAAAAGATGAGGCAGTTGGACCCATCCTGCCATTTTGTGCAAGGCAGTGAGTGCCAGGTTTATAAGTCATAAGCCACCTTATTACACAGTTTCTGTCAACAGCACTGCAGGGCTGGGGGGGAATGGGCAGGATGCCTTGAGGACTAATGCCGAGCCTTGCAAAAGCTTCTCAAATGCTATGTGTGATAGGGATGTGCAGGGTGTAAGTTGTATAGAGAATGCCAGTAACTGTAGCAGCTGCTGGGTATATCTTGCTGCCTGACTAGTTTTCAGAGCGGGAAAACCCTCCACATTCATTAGGTTTTCTCCAGATTCTGGATCTAGTACCTTTATTTCCACAACCAGTTGGCACAGAAGCAATTCCACCACCCCCACTCCCAACTCTTGCCAGCGCATCTCTCTAACGTCACACGGACCCATCTCCTAGTACCAGGTTTGCCCTGAAATTTCAGAGAATGAGATGCTGCCAACCTGGTAATCCTATGTTTTGACACAAAGTTATTTCAGTTAAGAAAGAACTTAGTGTCTTTCAGTTGACTTCCAGTTAACCTACTCATGCTACACACAGCAGCCTTGATCAAAGCAGAAAACGCTGCTTGCACCTAAGTGGGGTCGAAATCAATAAGATTTAACATGTGTTCCAAATCATGTGTTGTATCATGTGGATCTGAGCTCATCAGTCTGCCTTGCAAGCTAGCACTGAAGAAGAGAGGTTTTAAAATGCACCAGGAATTATTGATCAACAAAGAGGGCAAGGGTAACTGAAATCACACAACATGGATCATACTTATTATTCCAGTGCACTGTTTACCCATATCCTCCTATTTTGTTGTTTTTTGACACACTAGTGATGGTGACTCAGGGATTACATGGGAAGCCAGACCTAGTATGCCTAGGTAGCTATGAGCCACCTATTCATACTAGTCCGTTTCAAACAAGTGCAGAAATTCAGTAAATGATGCATAGAATCAAACCTCAAGCTTGTTGGCTTCCTTCATAGACAAAAGACTGCAGTTCTAACAAGAAAAAAAGATGTGTTGAGATTGTGAGGAAAAAGAAGACTGATCCTCTGCATGTAATGCTGGCAAAAATGGAAGTATCTATTCTGTACCTTTTGCATCACATGTCTGAGCTCTAAAATGTTTGTGTATGTTTCTTTCAAGGACACTTAAAAAAACCATCTAGCCAATCACTGGAAATAGGCCAGGAGCAATCCTTTGCCATTCTCCCTCTCTCTCTCAAATTCTTCTGTTCAGTACAGAAGCTAAAAGAAGCTTGGCTTGGCCCATGTTAATCTGTGCTCTGGAAAACATGGTCATTTTTAATCAGTCGGCCTTTGCTGCTTAATGCTTTTTTGTTCTCATCCCCACAGGACAAAACTTTGTTCCATCCGGTGAGCAGCAGCTGCGTCGACTGCAACCCAGCAGAAAAGAAGATTTTCATGAACAGATGCGATCCTTTATCAGAAACCCAACAGTGGATTTTTGAGCATATTAATATGACTGTTTTAGAAAAATTTAACAGCAAAAAAACCAGTTCTTAGGAAGACGAACACAAACTGTTCTGTACAGATTGCAAACAACGTTTTGGCCAGCGTCTGCGTCAAAGGAGTCAGAAATTAAGTTTTCTAGAGCCAGGAAATCTGTTCTGAAGATTAAATAAATGCCAGGGCAGAAGCCAACTGGGCCGTCAATGCTGATGGACAATATCTGAAGGACTTGGCTAAGAACCTCACCAGCTGCTGCTGAGGTCTCTGTCTGACAAATTCCCTTGCTGGTCAAGGGAAAAACTTTAGTTAAAAAAAAATGAAAGAAAGAAATGTCTCAAAACACTCCATGTTAATAAAGTTCAAGAGTTTTAGCATTTCTCAGGTCAAACCCTGCTATAGTGAGTAGCTATGAATAGTTGCTGTTACTTATGGGGATGTATGGAGTGCATGAGCGCTATGGGAATTGTCAGGTGCCGTGGGCATAGAGCTGGCAATCTGTATGGGATGCTGCCGGAGTCCCAGGATTGGGAACAGAAGGGGATGTTCTACCGCCATTTCATGCCCGTGATGAAAGTCAGGTTCAAGAGGGTTGTTTGATTAAGGGGCCATAGCAGACAATGTTAACAACCTCCCTACTACATTCCTTTCACTGTTGAAACAAGAATGGCTAAAAAACCATGTAAGCGTAATTTTAGAGTTGCATTTTGAATGAAGCATGAAAATGACTGTAAGGTGTCCAGCTACCATTTCTTTTCTCCAGCTGAAGAAATAATAATTTCCATCAAAGCAGTTAAATGTTAATTTCCATCCATTTTAAAGTGTTACCGAACAATAATCTGCAGTCATTCACATCTATCAAGTCATCATTTTTGGGATGAGCCAAAAATGACTCCATGGCCACATCCCTCTTCATCATGATCAGGGGAATATGTTACTTGCAATAACAGAACAATGCAAGCTTTGCAGAAAGGATTTCCTCTCGGAAGCCTACCTTTCTTTCCTGGCACCTTTTATTAAAAGACATAAGTAGATTTAGATCAATACAATCAGCAACAGAAGAGGCATAAAGAGTCGGACAAGGCAGGCTTGTGACCAACTAAGCATGAATATATTGCCTTAAGCTAAAGGATGCTGGCTCCACCAGCGTTAACATAGAGCTGGAGAAATGTTGAATGAAGGCAGGATACATGGATGTGATTGTGTTGTTTACATGATGAATATATTGCCTTAAGCTAAAGGATGCGTTAACATAGAGCTGGAGAAATGATGAAGGCAGGATATGTGGAGGTGATTGTGTTGTTTACATAAAACTATCTGGGCATTCTGTAGAGTGGTAAGAGAAACTGTAGGCCACCAGTGAAAGTTGCAATTAATGCCACCATAAAGGCAGAAATAAATGTAGCATTATCATGGTCTGCAGCTTTGCTGTAAGTGCAGATTGTGTACATTCTAAGTGCATGTTTCTAAACTTTTCTAAGTATGGTTTAAAGATAATATTCCCCTAAAAGTATTTGACTTTTGAGAGCTAGGTTTCAACAGTATCCTATGGTGCACCTCTTGCTGGAATATACTGTACCGCTACAGACTAAGGGGGGAAAATCATGATATTTGACTACCCCCTTTTTTTAAACAAAAATTCTGCCAGTGTACAGCTACCCCATGAAGTATGGGAGCTGAAGCTTAACCTTCTCCTTGCTGTCCATTTCTTTGTCTTTCTTCATGGGCAGGGAACATTTTATGTGGATGAAAATTTCTGTCTGCTATCTTAGTTGATAATGAAGGCTCAGATGGTTTTGCTGACTGTTTAGCATGATGCTTAGTGGCAAATAGCTGCAAATATGAGCCAGCCAACATTCAAATCTGGAAACTGAGGTCATTCTGAACAGGTACCCTGTATGATTGCTGTTTGCTGTGGTTGCATGTTTTCTGTAAGCATGTTAACAGAGACATTCTCCTTAGGTGTGTTTTTGTGGATGTGGTAGAAAGTATGGATTGTAGCATAATAAATATAGATCTGAAGCTGCTAAGATCCAGGTGAAACAAGAAGCTGGATGTGGACAGTTATCAAACCAAACCATACATCTGAACAAGTATTTCAAGCAACTGCTGGAAATATTTCTGATTTTGTAGTTCTTAGACTAGATTATTTTATTGGCATTTGGAGCCTACATAATTTGAAAGCAAGTTAAATGTATATTTGGTCATATATTCTTCTATATTGGCAGAGATCAATGCATTAACAACTATTAGATTTCTAAACTTATCAGCGCACAGCTTTCAATTTTGTATTTGAATTTCAAAGACCAGAGCTGAAGGAACCACAATGAAGATAGCGTATTTGATGAAAGACAGAAGAACTATCACCGTCACTATCAGATATATTGTGCATCGAATTAGTTCTGAAGTTCTGAACATCTAGTTATGTTCCCTGGTTTTGTGATGCACTTCAATGGAATTTGTTTTGTATTGATTTCTTAGTCCTGCACATGTGTGGCTGGCAATGACTGTTATCTATAGAGCAGCAGAATTGATAAAATGTTTCCATGCAATAGAGTACATATAATTTCCAGATTTCAGGGTCTGGTAAATACAGCCTACCTATTCATGACAATTGCCTTCAGCTTCTAATGGCTGAGTCACCTGCCCTGGGCAGAACATGCTATAGAAGTGGCTTGTTGCAGTAACAGATTGTGCTTGTGGCAAATGAATCAGATAACCAGTTCTCAGTAAGCAGGTTGGTCAAAAGGAAAAAGCATCTTCCATTAACAAAGTGGCCACAGGCCTTAAGCAAGGATGGCTTTATCATTAGACAAAATAAAGCAACCACCTTAGCAGCCAGGCGCTGGGAGAAACAGTAGTTTTCCCCTAGCCATTCCTTTGGTTGAAGGACAGAGCTATGTGTCTCATATCACCTAAACTAGCCCAGTTCCTTCATGTACAGTAGAGGAAGCTGTCTCAAGTTCTGAAATAAGATTCACCTTCCAGCTCAATTAATCTGTACATGGAATGGAGGTGACAGCCTTTTGTCCATTGTTTCAGGCAGCAAAAAGTCTTAGGGTGACTCACTGGGACACTGCAGAGGAGTGACATGATATCTATGACATTGAGACACATATTTAAGAGTGTCAGAATCATCTCTGACTTGAGCTATTTCATCAAGAATGTATAGTATAAGGTCACAAATAAGACATATTCATCAAGTTAGGCTGCAAGCCAGCATATTGGATTCTTACATCCAATGGAGAAATACATGGCTCAGTTTCACCAGTTTTCCTCCTCCTTTTCTTGGGAAAAGGCACTCTGTCCTACTAGGCTATGGAACTCTAGAGTGTTGGAGGGCATTCAGGTTCATGCCAGTGTTCACTGAGACATGAATTTGGGTGGTAACTGCAGAACCAACAGAACTGCTTTCAAGGAGAGGTGGACAACCATCCAGTATGCCTCTTGCTCCTTGAAAGCAGATTGATTTTGTACACACTGGCCATTTGTATCCAACACAATGTTCCCCTACGTAGGGCTGCTAAAGCCAGTGGACTTTAACAAGCTTTATTTATTTATTTATTCATTTATTTGTTTGTTTGTGTTTGATCATTTGTTTGTTTGTTTGTTTAGTAAGTAAGTAAGTAAGCATCATTTATAGACTACCTTTCTGCTGATGAGGGGACTCGACCTGACTCATGTTAGATTACGATCACCATTTAAAGTGCCAAGGTATGATTTTAAACATTACAAAAGATTGTATACCAGGGTACATTAACAGTGATATCTGTACACAGCAGTTGTTACATTTCTAACAATCTGTACTCAGCCATATAAATTGCATCATACATGAGTTCCTCATACATGTCACCATCTCCTCCATGTCAGTATGTGGTATTCAAATCGATTATGGCTGAGATCTTAAAATATTCTGGACATACAATCCTTTACTAGAGTTTGAGGTAAGCACAAACTGGAATCACAAAACACTGTCTTAAGAACTTGAGATTTTATTTTTGGTACAGATATTTTCTTTTGCCATAGAACACTTCAAATAGTCTCAATTAGGCAATATTAACAGCTCTTTAATATGTTCAGGTGATTGACATGATAAGGTAATAATCTTGCTCTGTAGGTCATGATATTGTAACAAGATTTCCATTCTTATTAGTGATGATCAGATTTTAGGAGACCCAAGGCAATTCTTTCAGAACTGGTATTGAGTGCCATGCTTAGATGCTTGGGTAGTGAATAGCTGTTCACATGTTAATGCTCGGTGTACAGATGAAATGCTGTGTTTACCCTTCAGAATCATTCCTAGTGTTAAAATAGCATCTCCTAAAATAGGTAGGCATTAATAAAATTGCCAGTGATTTCTTTGACAAGCTGACAACTACTTAACAATACAAGTACACTGGCTCCTCGGAATGAATACAGTACTATTTGTCTATTAAAAAGTCGACAGATATCCCCTTGAAATAAGTATTAACTGGGTTGTATAATATTTTCTGGCAGTCTTATCAGAAGCTGAGGCTAAAAAGCAGGAGAAAGAATACAAACATGTAAGCCAGTGGGAAGGGAAAAAAATTGGTGGGCTGTGTTGGGCTTCTTTTCTGTGGGCACTTCATGATGCCCCTCGCCTTAATCTGAACATGTTCATCTCAGTGTCCCTGTGTTTATTGGTTCCTATTGGAACATAATACAAACCAACATAAAATTGTATTTGCGAAGGCTTTCACGGCCGGGATCTAATGGTTGTTGTCGTTTTTTTGGGCTCTTTGACTGTGTTCTGAAGGTTGTTCTTCCTAATGTTTCGCCACTCTCTGTGGCCAACATCTTCAGAGGACTGGAGTACGAATTCTGGACAGAGTTCCTACTCCAGTCTTCTGAAGATGCCGGCCACAGAGACTGGTGAAACATCAGGAAGAACAACCTTCAGAACACGGTCAAAGAGCCTGAAAAACCCACAACAACCACAACATAAAATTCATTTCGAAACAAAAGGGTTCAATTCCCCACTGTGCCAGTATCCTATTGAACTTCCACTGAGCAAAAAGTATCCCCCACACAGTAATGGGATGGCATCACTTGTGCAAATATTGTTGTTAGCAGGTGGATGACAGCTTTTTATTTCAATGCAGTTCACTACGTGTTCATTGGCAGCAGTTGCACCAACAGAACAGTCTTGAGTTACAATACTGTTTGGACTTTTTGCTCTGATTTTTTTTATTTCTGTGGGCTACTATGTTAGATATTTCTTTAAAATTACCAGAATGAGATCTGAATTACAACCATTTGTTTTGTAGCAGTTGCTAGCGTTGTATCATTCTTACAATCATATGCTATCAAGTCAATTTAGACTTTTCAGGGTTTTCCAGGTAGAGAGTTCTTGGAAGTAGTTTACCATTCCCTTCTTCTGGGACTTTGCAGGGACAGACTGACTATTCTCTCAGTGAGAATTTGAGGATTTGAACTCCCAACCTATGGCTCCACAGCCAGATACTTAAACCACTGAGCTATCCAGCCATATATGTATATATCAATATGGCCTAGCTAAGATGGATAAGAACTTCTTCTTTGCATAACAAGCACCCAACTATGCTTTACATCTATCTGTAGAAAAAGGACAAAACCTTGATCATTTTTAAAGTGCTAGTCCCTTTCATTTAAACATATTACACTATAGTCTCATTCACTTTCTGGTAAGAAAAGTAACTTAAAGATCTCAGTACATTGTCTTAATCTAGTGGTGAACTAGACTGTAGAAAAGACTGGGTAGAAGAAAGAGGCTGACAAATTGCAAATGCTCTTACAAAGTTTGCCAGGAAGGCCATGGCTTCTGAC